TACGTACTTATCAATGTATCAAACTATACTTGTATTTCCTTTATATTTAAGCCGGCATGGTATTGACTGCCACCTGCGTTAGTATATATATAATACATTTTTACAACAGCTCTGACTCGTTTTTTCAGAGTGCTGTGAGGTATCTCAAGCTAAAGCCCCTGCCATCACTCTATTTGATTTGTTGTACTCAATTCCCGATTTCCGACACAAATACTTCGATTTTGTTTTTTTTACACACTGCAGCTCATGTCGCGTCCAAACCCGTGCAGTCCACTACCAGCAAGGTCATGTGGACAGGATTCGAGGTGGGTCTCTTTGTGCAGATTGGGGCTGTGATCAAATATTTAATGTATAAGGTGAATGCTGTGTGTATGATACATGCCCTGTCGCTTGGCGGATTGATGTTATTCACTATACATTGCACCCGTGAATACAACTAATCCCGAATGCTATAGTATTTAACACGCGTATGCTTTCCATCGATATATCTATAGACTGTACATCTACTATGGGCAATTTCGCTCTTGTCCCGATTTATTCTTGTTCTGATTAAGGGTTGCTTACGAAATGCGAACTATCGGCCTAAACAGACTGCGTCACTGCGAACCTACTAACGGTATACATGCGACTGTCTCGATTTGTTCTGTTTTTAGATCGTGTTTATTCTGGTCATCGGCTTGAGCGTTTTGGGCGGACTCATCTACTACGCGAGAATGAAGAACAATGAGAAGATGATGAAGCGCTTCTGAAGAGATGCTACCAAATATTAAATAAACACACTTTATACATGTATTTTATCGTATTAGGGTATTATTCACATAGAGAGATTGGGGGATCATACTAGTAATGGCAGCAGATGGAAGCAACCTGTATTCGAGCGTGGTAGGGTGGTATAGTGAGAATATTGCGGAGTGCCCTTGATTAGTATGAACACCTCTTAAGTTCGAGCCTGACATTGCGTTGGCTACGATATGAAGCGGTTCTCACGATAAGCGCGGGGAAGGGCGTTACAACATGACTCTGGGAGGAATTCACCAAATCTTGTATTGCAAATCTTCTTTTATTCACGCATTCGAGTGTGATATGAGATCACATAATATCTGGAGGGATCTTCCTAAAATCGAATATGAGAAGTTTGGTTTAAAATTGGAATGTGCTAAATAATGAGATGCAATAGGACGACTCTCGATGGGGGCCAATAATTTTTGGATGTAGCGATCGTAACCAATTTTGTCACGTTTTAGGTACTGATATGCGGGCGGATTCTGAAGTGCCCCAGCAAACATTTTATTAACGTGGTTCTATCATTTTTGGGCCTTTTTGGAGGGGTTGTTTATAGGCAGACGGCTGGGGCCTTGCGTTGTTGCCATTAAGATATCTAATGCAGGCGTGTGTGTTTTTGAATCTGCACAGAAACAGTAGTGCTTATTGGCAACTTAGTCAGAGGCAGTTGTGGATGATAACGGTATTTTATTTCAAATAACTTTGTATTCCATTTCGTTACAGGTTGGTTCTATCGATCACTCAATTGTTCAAGAAGCACGCACTACATGGTACACACGCCTAGTGTATTACAGCAGAGTAAATTCTATACAATCTGAGTAATGTGTGAGTAAAAACGAAACAGCAAATCACAGAGTACAGACATTCTTAGTTCATACTTTTTTTCCTGGAAGAAACAGTACTATTCGCATACCTGTAGGACTACCGAGTTCAAATAAGCAAGATAACAGCGAGATAGAACACACTTTGTCTCCACGTGCGAGTCTTTCAGCGGCCGGAGGTGCCGTATTACAGTCTGGCCAATCCAGATATGCATATATACGCTAGTTCCTACTCTAGGTGATCGAGGCCTTCATAGCATAGTTTAAATGCGAGCGACATTGCGAATTTGGCCTATCCTTAAGCTATATGCTGCAAGGGGACGGGGTACAATCTTAGAAAGTCAAGCCGAGTGCGAGATGTGGGCAGGAGACACCTATCCATGCCTACATGACAAACCGGCAAAAAAAAAAGTGTCAGCCGCTGTTTCCGGAAAGGGATCGCTCGACAAGGCGGTCTCAGGCGGATACCAGGCATGAAGTACGGTCACGTGCCATCCACATTAGAGCTACCTAACAAGCCTTTAATTACAGCCATAGTATCATACCTTGAAGTGTCCGAGGTAAATGCATTGTCACAGACATGTACAGTCCTGCGCAGAATAACGAGAGACCCTGATATACGCGCCAGAGCGATAGTGAACAGTGTGGGCGCTTATTTGTCACAAGAAGACGAAGAGGAGGCAACGACCACAGCCACTATAAGCTACAGCGGGATGATCACACGTACTGTTTTGCAGGCGTATACCTGGGGTGGGTTCGAGATGACAACAGACATACTGTCACAGATACACGGCGCGGACGCGTACTGTGTTGGACTGGTCACGGCTTGTGAGAAGGGGTGGATCGATGTGGTGCGGTGGTTGCTGCCGTATGTTGTAGGTTACAACAAACCGTATGCGGAAAGCAACGTATTTTATCTGCACAGTGCGCTGGAGGTGCCATTGTGGGACACCACTGGAATATAGCCCTGGAGTTGCTCAAGACGGGCTATGTTCATCCTTCATTCAATGACAACAAGGCTGTATTCATAGCCTGTGACCAAGGTAGCGTAGCGGCCGCGTGGCGTTGTGATGTAATATCGTTAGTGTAAGCTGCTCTGAACTACTGAGTACGATCTTAGAAAACAATGGTCTAGGCTGGGCTTATAATCTTCTAAAATGAATGTGTACATACTTGAGTCGAAAGTGAATACGCTCGTATCGATTGTGATATCTCCCTGTATGCGTCATGCCATCCACCTACTATGTGGCTACCTATCACATACCAAACAGACCAACAACAAAAGGGCTCATTAGATTTTTTTGATCCATACATAAGTCATGCGGTCATACTGTAGCTGATACCATTGCATCATACATTTTTTCTAATATACTTACCTGGGTCATGTGGATATGCTCCAGCTGCTTATGGTGCACCCCTGTGTGGATCCGTCCGCCTGTGACAACTTGGCCATAACAATAGCCAGCACACGCGGCTATTTGCCCATCGTCATGGAACTCCTCACAGACAAGCGTGTCGATGCATCGACCCAGTCCAGCTACAGTCTCCGCGAAGCGCGTAAGAATGGGCACACACAGGTAGTAGAGTACTTGCTGAAGCTTCCGGATGTAGACCCCACTGTGCACAACAATATATGTGTGCGTAGTGCGTGCAAGTACAACCACATTGAAGTGGTCAAGCTGCTTCTAAAGGATCCACGGGTGGATCCGTCGGCGTGCTATAACGAGGCCATAGTATCCGCACAGGATGGAGGGCACGAGGCTGTGATAAGGGTGCTACTTGAGGATCTGCGTGTGAATAAATCGGGCCTGAGTATTGATTTCTGATATGTACTGTACCAAAGGGTAGTCTGCGACATAGATGTAAGCTCCATTAGCGTAGGCGGCATGTTATATGATAGGAGGCTACTGTGCAATCATACGACGGAGGACACGAATATGTGTAGGTTCGATGACCTCAAATGAAGGTGCGAGAAAGAACCCTAAAGGAAGTCAAGAATCACTCACATATCACAAACAAAAGACTGATTTTATTTAATTGATTATTAAAGCAATTTACTTAAAAAAATTCACACTCCATGTATAGATGCTGGTTCGTGCTGTTTTTCTGAGATGCTGTTTTGAGTCTTGCAGAAAAATTGCCAATATGAATATATGGCCCGTGCAGTTACTTGTGACCCGTGTGATACCAAAGCGTATTTTGTGGATCCCAGCCAAAAAAATTGTGAGTATATCTGCGTGGAAGTGAATACAAAACTTGAATAAAGTTGGTCGTGCTACAAATATCAATAACACAGTACTATTTTCGCCTGTCTATTTATGTGCCAGTTGTACTGCTAACTACATAGTAGCCTGGTACCACTACATAGTAGTATAGTACTTCTACATACAAGTATAGTTCACTACATAGTAGTATAAATCCACTCTACATAGTAGTATAGTACTACTATATAGCAGCATCGTACTAATACAAGCCTTTGCTAGCATACTACGTAAATAACTAAATATGTAGCTACTATTCTTTTTTAACAAATATAAATAAGGCTACCACATCAATATCACACATATACAATTCTACAAATGTAACCAAATTTTTTTCTCGAACAAACCTTATAAATTAATGAGGGACGAGAGAGACGAATTTAGCTCAATAGCTCATCAGCTATTTTTATATATATAGAAAAACAAAGTATAATATATGTAACATATAATACGGCAGCCAGGCAGCGATCTTGCTCAGCCCGCCTAAAAAAAGTTGACAGACAAGAATCTAAAAATAGAATGGCAGCCTGGTAACTCCGGCTAAATTATTTCATTTCCTAATTTGGCACCCGACTACTCTTTAGGTGTGGTCCAATTACCAATATTCCAATTTAGCATTCGTCTTTGGGAAATTGGTACACAGTTAAAGTGGGCTCATATTTGGTTACACAGTGCACACGCACGAATCGAACACATTTAGGCTGGTGGAATTGGGTTGAAGGTGTGTATACGTATGTATATATATATATATATATATATACATTCTGTATCTCGTAAGTGAAAGGAATACAGCTTGCACGCGCGCATTCATCCGTATAATATTACAGCTACTGCCTTAGCACGTAGACTAAGCAGGTATGCCACATGTATACAAGAATAGCGAGTATGTACTGTATCGTACAGCGTGTGAGATCATGCATATATTCCACCCCTTCTTATACAGCATGCTTGTCAGTTTGATAGTTTGTGCAAAAGCTGCGATGTGATGCTTCATATTAAAGACGCGGAGTTTATCATCGCAATTACAGCGTACCTGTTGAACAATGTTACCTGTTTAACAAAGTCAAGTATATGCAGTGGCAATATAGTGTTTTTAGGTGGTATGGACTCTATAGATACGACTAGTAGAAGCGTGGGTGCATGTATGTTTGTTGGTATGTATACACACTCACGCGCGCACACACACATATATACACAAATACACACATATACGCACACAAAAACACAGAGGTACACACACAGAGATACACGCACTTATATATACACGTACACACACATATATATATATACACGTACACGCACATACACCCACACACACAAATAAACAGATACACGTATACACACATACATACATACATATGTATATACATACCCGCATGCGTGCGTGTGTGTATGTATGCATACATAAATACACACACACACATACATACATACATACATGCATACGTACATACATACATTCATATATACATACATACATACATACATACGTGCACACATACACAACATACATAACAAACGCACACACATGTACACACACACACACACACTTATATGTATATACGCACACACACACGCACACACACACACGTATATATATATCACACACACACGTATATATATATATATATATACAAGATATATATTCATATACGTATACATACACTCGCACACACACATACATGTATATGAATTCATATACATATATATATATATATATATATCTATATATACAGGTATATATATATATATATATATATGCATGTATATGTATATATACATACATACATATATATATATATATATATACACATACACATACAC